GGCTGCGCAATGACGTCAGCCAGTGCCTTCAGTACCCTCGGATGGAGCTCATCCGGGTCGCCCTACTTTGGTATTGATGTCCATGGTAATTGATATTCTTTGGCCAAACTTAAAACAATGTCTAGCTAAAGCATGTATACTCTAAAAGAATCAGTTCTAAGTGTGATGAACATATGAAATTTATCTTCCTGGCACTTGTTCTGCTTTAGAGGCTGTGCAGTTCTCAGCTATTGACTATATCTAGTAGCGCACTTAGTGATTTGGATGGGAGAGTTAGAAAAGGACATGCACTCCCTCTTCTCTTCCCACCTTCTACATCTCCAGTAATACAGACTTCAGCATAGTTAGCAGACATATGGATTATTGTGAGTAGGCTCTGCTGTCCAGGTGACCTGTCTCTGAAATTGTAACGAAAAATTGCAAGGTGCTGCACCTGGGGAGGAAGAACCAGCAGCATACCTACAGGCTGGGGAACTCCCTTCTTGTCAGTGCAGAGGCAGAAAGGGATCTTGGAATCATTATTGATGCCAAAATGGACATGGGCCGACAGTGTGGGGACGTGGTCAGGAAGGCCAACCGCACCTTCTCATGCATCCACAGATGCATCTCAAGCAGGTCCAAGGAGGTGATCTCTATGCAGCACTGGTCAGGCCGCAGTTGGAGTACTGCATCCAGTTTTGGGCGCCACACTTCAGGAGGGATGCGGACAGCATTGCGAGGGTCCAGAGGAGGGCCACCCACATGATTGGGGGCAGCAGGGCAGGCCCTACGATGAGAGGCAAAGGGACCGGAACCTGTTCAGCTTCCACAAGAGAAGGCTGAGCGGGGATCTAGTGGCCTGTTACAAACTAGTCAGTGGGGACCAGCAGGCATTGCGGGAGTCCCTGTTCCCTCGAGCGCTACCAGGAGTGACAAGAAATAATGGTCACAAGCTGGCAGAGGGTAGATTCAGACTAGACATCAGGGGGTGCTACTTCACAGTTAGGGCGGCTAGGACTGGAACCAACTTCCAAGAGAAGTGGTTCTGGCTCCTACCCTGGGGATCTTTAAGAGGAGGCTCGATGAACACCTTGCTGGGGTCGTCAGACTTGATGATCTGTTAAGGTCCCTTCCGACCCTTACAAACTATGAAACTATGAAAGCAAAATTTGACCACTGGTTACCATTGTATCAATTTGCAGGCCACGGTTGTTTCTGTAAACCATTTTCATTATGCATTTCTGAATAAATTCACAACATAGAACTCCTACTTTGTATGAAAATTTAGTTATGATAAATAAAGTTCTGAATTTGATAACAAGCAGGTGCTAATCAAGGCAGAGGAGTGGCATGGGGTTGGTCCCCAAGCCAGATCCTGTGCGGGGTCAACACATGAAATTAGTCTGCAAGTGCAGTGCAGTCCAGCATACCAGCCTGATCCTGTATGCCAGCTCCAGCCAGGCCCAGCCCAGCCCCATACACCAGCCCAACCGCATACTGGCCTGATCCTGCATGCCCAAAACCAACTGTGTGCCCCTGGCTTACATGCTTGGAAATAGCCGCAGAGTCAAAGCCACACACTGGTCTGTCCTCATGCCATCACAATCTAGTATGCAAGGCCACGTTATCAGGTCCATGAGTCTCCCAACAGGTCCAAAAAGTTGGTAGTAGAGAATCAGAAATTAATGCTGCCACCGCTCCCCCACCACCAAATTTCTGAACCCATAGGGAGCCCCACAAACCAGATGGCATGGTTCTGCAGGCCAAAATTGAGTAATGCTGATTTAGACTGCTGGTTTTGAGTAGGGATAATATTCTTTAGAAGGAAGTATAAACTCTGAAAGTGTACATCTGTGTGGAAATGTGCAAGATTGTCTCTCTTGGCAGGCACACATGCTGGCCCCTTAGTTTAATCACAAATCTAGCAAGCAGTCTGACAATTCTCTAATTTTCCACTCAGCTTATAGATTCATAGATGCTAGGGTCGGAAGGGACCTCAATAGATCAT